AAAGAACATGTAAAACTAAAATGAAATATTGAGTAATTGGAAATTTATATTTTATTTGTAGTATATAATTATATTTAATATCTATGTATCCAGATAAAAAAATAGTGTGATATCTATATTTAATTAATTATTTACTCAATTTTGATTGTACTATCTAATGTTATCTCCTTCAAGGCATATATACTGTCAAGAATTTCCACTTATGGACTATCATTAAAAACTAATTTGCTATTTATTATTACTTACATTAATTGCAAAAAAGTTAGGTATTCTTCATAAAAATTTCACAATCAGTAATGCTATATTATTACAACTTTTTTTAAAATCATTATAGACCGATTTAACTAAATGGGTAAACATTTCATAGAAGACTATTTGTCATAACAGTGTTTTATCAAAATCAAACAGTATTTACGTGTTTTAGATACATATATGTAGTAAAGTCAAGCCATGATAGTCGAATGTCAAATCAAGTCAAGAAGTTATATTTCAACTAGGTACATGGAAATTCAAATAATTCATAGTAGTCATATTTCCTAATGATAATGTTTTTATATAAAAATATAAGCCATTTATTGTGCATAGAATTGTAAATTATAGATATTAACCCATTAACCTCATAACAAATACTACTTAATTTTAATTTCACGAATAAAAATGTGATTCTTTTTAAACACGAAAACAAATTAGAATTACCTTGGTATACAAATAATTTTATACCAATTTACTAACTAAATTAATTCAAAATTACGCCGAATTAAAAACGGCATAAAAGTTCATATTAAATAACTAATAATAAAATAACTAATAGTGCTACAAAAAATAATGTAAAGTTTGAATATTGTTTGCCATTCCTGGTACATAAATAATATTGTGCTATCAACAAAAACATATCGACAATTTCACAATTTAAAAAAATGTATGTAATCAATATGTGTATCCCAATTTGACCTAGGGAGGAATTTTTATCGAAAGACATTATATTATTTTTTAAAATTTATTTTAATTAAACGCAATGTTCATGGAAATAACCAGGTTAGTCACTTTGCACACGGAAACCCCGTCCAGATACCACACGAAATGACCTTGTAATGGGGATGGGTGGTGAGTAAAATTAATCAGTTTTGATTCAAATTTAAAAAGTAAAAGAAATATTTAAATTTTTTTCTAATGTAGGGTTCTAAGTATATTAGCATAGTTGATGTTGGGGGTTAATATTTTCCATTTAGAAAACTGTACTTAAATGTATATTTCTTATTTTAAACAAATTATTTACTACATTTTTGCTGAACTTTATAATTTATATAGGTAATAATTCAATTCGTTTACCTATTGTAATGTAAGAGTATCGTAATACCAAATTTGACACTACATTGTTCAATTATCCAAATTAAGTGTATATAAACAGAAGCAAACAATAATTAAACCCAAGGAAGAAGGTAGATAAGTCAACAGTGAAGTGAATATGGTTTGTGTGTGTTGATGATATATTTAAATGGTTGGCGTCCTAATCCTCAGTCAATGTGGATGTTCGCATAAAAAGTAAATATTGTTGTTTGTCAAACACTCGCTGATTATGTACCAACTTAATAAATAATTTCACTCTCCCGTTATGTTCTCTATCATATCGATTCACTAAAGCAAACCGAGTAATTAAAGTCGCATTTAGGAATTTTTATTGCAACGGAGCGACTACTTTGGTATTGTTTGTTTGGAAGGAAAATGTTATTATTACCTATTTCGTTTTGGATAAAGATCCACCTCTGTTTATGACGGCGGTAAGCCCGCGCGTAACATCTCAATAAATAGGTACTCCTGTTATTAAGCAGGTAAACAAACCTACAGTGGGCTCTATGAAATCTTGATCTGAGAGTAATGATGGCTTAATAATAAATTATATGCATTATAGCAAAAGTAAGTCATAGCAATGTTTTTAAAAATGTGCTTTTAAATAAAATTTAGATTTGGTTCCCATAAAAATGCTGCGCTTATTGGATAGTATGTCAAAGTCACAATATTGAAGAACTTTTTCAATGCGACATAAGCTGTAATTATCAGAAGTAGATGGCTATAGAAAAAGAGGAAATAGGAAATATGTAATAACGTGTAGGGAAAACTTATTATGCTATTAAATATTTAGTCTCCTGCTCACAGCGGAAATTTCAGAAAAGGAAGAAGCGCAAAGTTGGCTAAATTACAAAAAAATTTTCGAAGAGATAAGCGCTCTTGAATTACGTCTTTAATTTTCTTGCAAGTCATTGTTACTCTTATTACAGATTACTAAAATATATTTATTTTCTTACTTCAATAATTTTGTATTCTTAAATCTAAATATTAGAGATTTTTAATTTTCAGATGTTACATGCAATTTTGTTGTTATTTATACCTTATTTTGGGCATGGCCAACTGTATGCAAACACATATTTTTTCAAATGTGACAGAATTTTTTTAAAATATACCTAGGTATACAAACTGATACTAATATGTATAAAAAAGTAACAGAACTATCCAAAAATGCTAATTATCTATAAAAGTTATAAAAAATGATTGAAGAAAGCTTATTGCAATTTTTTTTTAATTAAACCAACTTTATACCTATTACCGTTTCTAGCTTATATTTTCAATTTTCATCTCGCACAAACTGTAAACTCGAAAAAGTAACATGCAGAATTTTTGTCAGTAGATCTTATATAGATCAATGTCCATATATATGGACGGTGGCTATATCTGGAAAAAGTACCAATATAGGTAGGTAAATGCTGCATGTCTTGTTAAAAGCAAAAAAGCTCCAACCAATATGTTATGGTGAAATATTTAATTTATTTGTTGACTGTAGACTTGCAACTGTTATATTTCCTTAATTTTTAATATATTTATAATCACACAAGCGAAGCAATCTTGAGCAAGGAAAATAAATCTAGGATTTAAATCTCGATAACTAAAACTTCTATAATACCTAAACGATTTTCTCTTAGCTAACATCATCAATCATCCCAGTAGTAGACAAAAATTTCACTGTAAAACAAAAGGAAAGGTAAATAAATGCTTTAAACAGATTTACTAATTTTATTAATTAGCTGAAAAAAAAAAATGAATCCGAAATTACTACTAAGATAAACCACCTACTACCAGTATGAAGCGTATTATCTTTTTATGTTTTTCAGATAAATACCGAATTATTGTAAAAACTGTTTTTATAACTTTCCGTTTAATTGTACTTAGTAGCAATTTCATATATCATCATCATCATCAATTAATATGCTTTATATTAATTCAAACGCAAAACTAATTAACCAATTAGCCGCCTAGTTAGTTAATTTTAGCTCAGTAAGAAAAATCATGTTCTTTATTATACCTTGATGCCTGCGACAATAATGTTATAGTAATAAAAGAATTTCATTAATATTCGTCTCAATTCATGTACAAAATCATTAAACAAAAGGAAAGGTACAAGAAAATAGGCTCAATTCTAAAAGTTAAGTTGCATAACATAAAATGAAGCAGCAAAAATTATATTTAATTAATTGGAATTAGCCTTAGGTAATAGATAATTAAATAGTCCTTCGAAAAAAGTGATGAAGAATTAAAAGTATAAGAAAATTTTCTTGCATTTAAAGATTATTTTCATATTTAAACATTCGCAAAACTATTAAATTCTAATGTAGGTAATTCTAATGTAATTGATTCTTCATGCTGGTGAAGAAAGTAGGTATCTATATTATATTTAGAAAATAAAGTAATTAATAATAATTTAATTGATAGATCTTAAACAGGTTCAATTCGACAGTTTATATTACTTCTATATTCCAATATGAAACCAATTAATCCTTATTTGCCCCATATTCGTTATCCCTATACTTGACATATTCTTTTATTAATCAACTTTTTATTATTTATTTAATATTTTCATTGTTAATGCCTGTTATTGATTATTTTTAAGTTATCGAACACTGAGGAACGGAAAATGATATGTTTTTAAAAATATAGTTGGATGTAAGTGCGAGAGATACCAGAAGTTCTTCTGCGTACAGCGGATATATTTTTTTTAATTTATATAGAAATTGCATTTTAAGTTACTGATTTTAATTTTTGCGACGGCTTTTACTGAAAAGCTTCGCGTTATTCCAACAAAAAATTTCTACGAGTTAAAAAATCTTAAAGTTGCTAGGTAATCTGATTTTGTAATTTATCTCAATTTACTTATACCTACGCCATATAAGTACTAAGTACCTTCTTATTAGATGCGTTGATCTGAATTTAAATAGGTAGAACACATTTTTTACATGGTTCATATAGGTAAAGTAACTGTTTGTATGTAGATAGAATCATTCTTGATTGTAAAGGATAAAAGTTAGACTTGAACAACAAATATTTAAAGTAGAGTAGAGAACACCATAGGTTAAAGAATATATTAGGTAGTTAATTACATCAAAAGAAAAGAAAGAAACTAAAATATAATTTTTTTATTGTATAAAATGGAATAAACGTTTTCTTCTATAAATCGAAAAAAAATCGCTTATTTGCTTTAATTGGAAAAATTATTATACCTAATAAAAAGTAAATAATTTTGTAGCCGCTATACAAAACTGACTATATTACCTTACCATTGTTCCATGGTCACAATAAAAAAAACACTGTAACAAAGAACTTTTTATTGTTGTTATCATCCGAAAAAAACTGAACTAGCGTTGTAGATTACCAAGAATTTGAACCTCATGATACCTACGCGTCCGTGAGTAGAAATTATTAGTTCACGGATCAGACGATAGTGGCGTCATGTTGATAGGCGTGGCGCACTTCCCCTGGAAAGTTCCACGGCATTGATAAGCCCAGCACCAATAAAAAACGTGTTTGGACCTCCTGTTGTTATGGCAACCGCAGGACGAGAATCGTCATTGGTTGAAGCGTTACTATGGCGACTATCCTCCCCTGGCGATCCTGTATTTGACTACCTAAAGCTCTTGGTACTTCACATCGGCTTGTAGTATCTAAGTAAACAGGCAGCGAGGAGTATTTGTTTTTCCAATCAGTGCTGGTTTGGAATACCTAAAGTGTTAACTTGTTTGTGGATCTGCTCGTGATGTAAACAATGAAACAAAACCTCCAATGACGAGTTAAGATCAAATTGATTGGTTTGAATAACAAGTGTGTATAAACTTTGCTTTGTGGTTCTGCTGGCTAGACTGCGGTGTTGTTAAAGTGCAATAATATTTAAGTGCAATCCTATTAAAGTATTAAATATGTTAGCCCAAAAGTTATATCCCGACGTGAGTACCATGTCTACTTCAGCGAACGCTATGACTCCCATGACGCCGACTTATTCCATGAACTCCATGTCCTGCGTCCCGATGGCTCCCATGAACTGTTCGCCGCAAACGCCGATGTTCGGATCCAGTATGCTGAATTCCGGCATGTCGCCCAGCATGCAGATGAATCGAATAAGTGCAAGAATGGATACCCAAACCGGTATGAACGAAACATCTCAATTAGGATATACCACAATAGGTTCGCCCATATCGAATATGAGCGCTTGCATGGGTGCGACAATGTCTAGCATCAACAATTACAATACTGCTATCGGAAGAGGTGATCTAGGTGGCGGCGATACATCCCCAAATTCGGCTTTGCAAAGAGCTCGAGCGGACAAGACTTACAGAAGATCTTACACACATGCGAAACCCCCTTATTCGTATATATCTCTGATCACCATGGCAATCCAAAACAGTCCGCAGAAGATGCTGACTTTATCAGAAATATATCAATTTATTATGGATCTGTTCCCTTTCTATAGGCAAAATCAACAGCGATGGCAAAACTCGATTAGACATTCTCTATCATTCAACGACTGTTTTGTGAAGGTTCCTAGGACTCCGGATAAACCAGGAAAAGGATCATTTTGGAGCCTTCATCCCGATTCCGGCAATATGTTTGAGAACGGATGTTACCTGAGGCGGCAAAAACGTTTTAAGGACGAAAAGAAGGAATTAATCCGAGCAACGCATAAAAGTCCCTCCCACAGTATCGACAATAGTAATAGCTCCGGAAAGAAAACGCCGTTACAACACAACGACGATAAATCGGCCCATCATCTGGACAAGACCAACGATAATAATTTGAGCTCGATGTTGAGTATTCATCCGACGAAACTGGATGTGGATCAAATGAATTTGTTGCACGCCAACGACTTGAATATGCATCAACAACACCATCACCAGAATATGTCCCACGAAGAACTATCGGCAATGATAAATCGAAGCAACCATCTGGCCTTATCCAGCGAACATCAGGCGATGTTACACCATGGTGCGATGAACCATCATCTAAAGCAGGAACCTGCAGGTTACACGCCGTCGAACCATCCGTTTTCTATCACCAGGCTACTTCCTAACGAAAGTAAGTCTGACATAAAAATGTATGCAGATATGCAATATGCGAGTTACAATACGTTAAGTCCGCTACCTAATTCCATACATTCCCATACTTCTATAGGTAATGATTATTACAACAGTCCTTCCCTATACCACACGTCATCAGGGACGACGAGTTTGTGACAATATCCTTTGGCTTAAAGCTACTTAACTCGAATAAGTCTTTTTGTTTTGTACATATTTTATGGACGCATGTGCATTGTAAATATGGTTTTATTGTGTGAAATAAGAGACGGCCGCAGTTCGTAAAACTGGTTGCTCTATTTTTCCACGTGCATTGTTATATATTTCACAAGTGTATATCTTAGTGTCGCGAGTCATTCATAACTAAATTATATCTTTTTCTACTGAAATCTCAAATAAAACTTTTTGATCTGCAATTTTGAATAAAATTTATTTATCGTGCGTACACTTTTAGACTTTTAGATTGTTTTGTAATTTTTTTATTTGTATAAAATAAAACTTAAGGGTTTTAAACGCTTATATTTTTAAGTTTGTTTTGTAAAAATGTACAAATTATATATGTAATTAATGTAAATTTTAATCAACATTTTGTGATTCAAATATGTATATGTATATTTGAAATTTGTATAATGAAAAGTACCTAGACATTTTAAAAGAGGTTTTAATTAACATAATGTGCAACTACGAACCAAAATTTGTACATACTAAATAGAAACATATATGATGTAATGTATATTGACTTTTTGTCATAAATAAATGTTCATCAGATCTCTTTATGCACGATTTTTATTTTGTTCCTTATTTGCAACCAGAAACGGCCGTTACAAAATGTGCAATACTTCTATGGGTGACATTGTCTGAAAGTAGATATTTATTTGTGGCATTTCTTAAGTATGTAATTTTTTTTGAGTATTTTGCCACAATGTAAAATAAAAAATTGAAAAATAGTAAATACCTGTCGCACAAAAATTAGTCAAAGTTTGGTTTTTAATAAACTTATTTTTCCCTAACAATGTATATAAATACTTACGTTATGGTTTAAATAACATCTAAAATTAAACTTCAACTAAAGTAGTATATTATACCTAATGTTTTAAACTTTTAAGATACGTAGCAATGCGTAGACCAGTATTATTAATTATTAAATGTCTTATATATCTATTATTACATGACCAATTTCGTATTTTGTGAATGTAGGCAATGATTATGGGATAGTCCATAGATTGCAAATTTTTAAGGTATAAAACTAAACCTAGATGTACCCGAAAAATAGGCCAACATATTAAAAATATATATTTTCAAAATTACATATTTCCTGATTTTACACCAGTACCGCTTATATCTAAATAATCAATATTCTACTTATAATTTCATATCAAATTTTAAAGAATGATTTTAGAACAATAAGGCTATCAGATATAAAATGGAAGCTCAGGTAGACATTGTCAAATTATTCCTCTAATTTTCTGTTTTGATAAAACTGTTAAATTTTACAGTGACTTGAAAATAATGGGACAACTACGTACGAAATAATGTTTTGACTGATTATAGTGACTAAAATTAATTGCTTCATTGACATAAATTTATAGACAATGTGATGGATATGTTTGCCGCCTGAGCTATTTTCACTCTACTTAAACAATAAAGCAAACCATTTGAATAAGATTTCAGCATCTCAGTAAAATTAAAAAGTAGCTAAAGAAAGTAATGACCATTTCCACGCAGCATGACGATGTTGCTGATACTACTTGTACGCTCACTTAACTGCTTGAACAATTGTTTCAAAATCAATAATTTGTTATTTTCATTGAAAAATAAACCACTGATACAAAAATGCTTAACCTTATCTACAATTCGTAAACTCAGTATAACTCAGATCAGACCAACTGCATAATTAAAGATGAGTACATCTCCTTAGATGAAATTTGAGATTGATTATTATTAATTGTTTAATTAAAAATATCTTCTATGACTATGAAAGCTCAGTCGATACCAACCTTATGTTCCATAAATTCATTTTTAATAACTTTGTCGTTGTCGATTGGTATTCTGCTGTGATATACCTACATACCACACCAATGTTGTGAATGTGAACAATTTTTGAAAATTATATTTTGGAAGATTACGGTTCGCAATCTGCCGGTTAATATTTTAACAGGGTACAATTTATTTCGATATTTTAAAAGAGTTTTATTGACACTATTATTATCGATGGGTATCTGTAACCATTTCAAACAGGTATAAAACCAAATGATGTGGGAAAAGGTCTTGAAGCACTTTTATTTTCGTAAGTTCTAAATTATTATTTAGCTGAAAATTTAAAATAATAATAATTTGGAGTATAGTTGTGACATATGTGTGAAGTGATTAAAATTAAGAAAGTAAGAAGAATATAATGTATAAAAACTTATGAGAGACAATATAACACAGCTACCTAAAGTTGGGCATTTGCGTTGTTATGAGAATTAGGTACAAAAAAATGGTATTTATACAAACCTGATGTATATTTAGTAAAATGAAAAATAATAGGGGAAACAGAAAAAAATTAAAGGGCAGGCAAAACGGAAAAACCAAGTTTCGGTCCTACTTAACAGGCCTGCATATTTTTAGAAGTTAACAAGTAACTTCAGTTGTACTTGTATGATAAATATATTCCTTGACCCTTTAACATAGGTACTACCACGATACGATTTGTATTATTTACCTACAATGTTTTCATTATAACTTTAAATTGTGAAACATGGCGTCAGAGGGCCAAGTAGAAATTTGAAAATTTGAGTAGAGGAATCTTACCGATAATATATTTTCAAATTCTGAAATAAATTAATAATGAAAAAAAATAATGGAGTGTAATGTTGTTTTATTAATTTTAGACAAAAAATGAAAGATGAAGGAAACAAAAGTGTGTGTGGGGAAGAACATGGTCATCCGCTAAGTGAATATTTACCTAATATTATATTTGCGAATAGTAGGCGGATTGAGAGTGAAAATTGTTATTGAGGTAAATATAGGCTTTAAAAAATGTCGAATTTTGCTAATAATAACAGGGACGGAACATTTTCTTATTTCGCATAATTTTGAAGCATAAGGAATAAATGACTTTTCCGTTTGTTTACCAACCATTCTTAATATCCTTTTTGTTTTTATATTTTAATATTTCTATTCTATTTTAGTTGATATAAATATTACAATAATCAAATTGCGATGCTATGTTTTAATTTCTAAGAAATCTTGAAAAAATGAGGTTTTGTCGCTTTGCGCGAATTTTTGCTACATATACTACTTATTAAAATAGATAATAATTTCTTATATTCTTATAGAAACGATAAAAAGAACATTAAATTTACAAAAAATATAAAGATATAAAAATTTTAACAAGTATAGTTATAATAAAACTACATTTTGATATAAATCAGAAAAAAATATTTAAGTCTCTTTAGGATAATCGAAACAAATAGTTTCAAATTCTTACAATCTAAGTAGATACCGGAGTGTTCTCCCCTTTACACGAGGAGGTCAGGTCTAAATATTTTCTTGCGATAGTTTCTGGGGACCATGACTTATATTATCGACTTAAATAGGTGATAAACCGCCCTCGAGCCTTTTCAATATAATGTAGGTAATCATAAACTTCTTCTAAATGAAATAGTTCCTCTTTACTTACCACCAACTACATTATCTCTGTCCAATTGACGCAGTGACTCATGGCACCTTGCTTGTTGGAACAGTGAATATTCGAAGGAACCTCGTAATTTTTTATGCTGTGTTTATATCTACCTAAATAAATTTAAATTTTCCGCCCAACTCCGTTGCGAGTTTATATGATTTACTATTAGCACTGGTTCATTTTCAAACTGTTGGTAAAATAAATGCCAGTCTGCAAGGTTGCTATGAAATCAATTTTGTTAGATACGTGAATTTTTTTATACGCTGTAACTTCTAACACTCGTAAAATACAGTTATGACACGTGATGGGAAGAAATACACCGCTTTAGTTGTTATATATTACAGTTTTACTCTATCTTTTCCTATATTATAAGGCAAGCTAATATATCTAATAGTTCAATACATATCTTTCTCCTTATCTTAATCTTTCTCCATATGAGCTGTACATACCTATGGGTGCCCAACTATAATTTAAAATTCACTTTTGTTTTGTATGTGTAATATATTTCTCTTATTTTCATGAGTTTTTTTTATATTAACCTCAAATATCTAGTACCTACCAGGCTCGAGAAAGGTTACAAAACATTTTCACCGCGGTTGTTAGGATGAAAAGTTTTACGACAATATCACCAAATATATTTTTTTACTGTCACTTTTTAGATAATTTTAATAAGCGATTTTTTCGTGTGACTATGTATTTTGTCTTTAAAATTTCCCTTCATATTTAAAAAATTACAAGTAAAAAAGGAAATCTCTATATTTGGACAGTACCACCATCTCCCGCTATTTATTTTTAAAACCAAAAGTTGATAACTTATGAACACTATACTAGATAATAGGTATAGGTACTTCTTTATATGCATCTTCTGATCTTTTACAAAACATTTTTATTTTTGTACATGATGTACCTACATGCAACACACAGTCAGAGTTCGTTGGTTATTATTATAGTACGGACATAAATATAATACGTTATTTGGATGAAATCCTGGGCAAGGCGGGGTCTTCCTGTTGCAATGTTGTACACCAAATGGATATGTAGCTTTTGCGTCTACATATCAAATGACAACTAGGCGCTAAGTAAATTATTTTAAATCTCAACTAAAGTCAATTACCTAGTGCAATAAGCATTTACCTTTAGTGAAAGAAAATGCTAGAAAGAATGTACCTATTAAAGTAGTAAAATCATGTTAGCAAAATAATTTTTATTCATCTTGGCATATGATATATTAACACTATTAAGAAATATTTCTGTTATAATACAGATTATCTTAGCAAAACTTTTTTTATTGGTCGGTTTCCCTTGGTGTAGAAAAAACATAAAATATTTAATGAAAACAAATTTTTATTTGAGGTGTCTATAATAAATAAATTCTTACCTATAATCTACATTTTCCAAATACTTACCAGATTAGTACAAAGATTCAATAATTTATCGCGAAATAAGCCGTTTGAAGAGTAAGTTCGTTTGATTCCAATAAAAAATATGTATACATATATCTATATTGTTTGATTTGATAATCATCTCTTCTAAATTTGATTATTTATATGAGCAAAGTTTAAGGAGGTTAACTGCTATTAAACCATTTTATATTAAACAAATATACTATTTGTTTTATAGACTTAATAAAAGATATCCAACAGAAGATGAAAAACAGCAGTTTAAGGAAGTTGAAATTGCTTTGTTCGTGAAAAAGAAAAGCAGAACATGACATTTTTTTTTCTTATGAACCATGAACGTATCATCTTTAGTTTTTGAGAAAGGTACAGGATATTAAACATATTTTTTTAAATTACATTTCAGCCATATCTCTTTCAAAAAACAATGTAGGTATTGCATTGAAATTTGATGCAGGTTGAGTTTTGAGGT